GTGTGTGTGTGTGTGTGTGTGTGTGTGTGTGTGAAATTTGTCATGTTAGCAGAGGTCTGCAGGTCATAGAGAATGATCCTTAGCGGGAAGTTTGGAAGGCCTTTCTGTATGTCTAATTTCATGTCTAAAACATCTAGTATTTCAATGGATTTATCCACCAAAGAATACGTGTTTCACAGTGCGCCTTCATTTGGGGCTTTGCATCACGGGGACTTTCCCTTTGTTACCTTTAGGTTGGCTTAACAGCATTGTTCAGGGGGGTGGATTTTTCACACCAATGAGTGATGTAGCTGGGTCACCTTAACATCTTTATGTAGATGTGGACAGAGACTCTGAAATTCAGTCCCATCGCCTCAGTCCAGAATGGGCCATTTCCTGCGGGTCCCCAAGGGAGACTTCCAAGCCTGCCTTTCTTCTGGGCCTTGGAGAAGGAGGAACTAGTTTAAGCTGAGTTGCCTGTAATGTGGGCTAGAGTGAGTGTCTTCTCCCCTCTGTGATTTGGGAAGCCATTATAATTAGTAAGGATGTGAATGGTTAATCGGTGAGCCTTGCCCTTAATGGTTGAGGCTTACTGGTTCCAGTTAACCAGTGGGGCTGGAGCAGCTCCCCACCTGATGCGGGCAGGAGGCTGCTCCAACCCCGCGGGGCCTACTGTGTGGGGGAGGTACTCCAGCCCCAACAGAGCAGCCCCTCTCCATGGTGGAGTGGCCCATATGCCCTTTAATTGGTTAACCAATAACCTGTTAACCAATAAAATGGGATTTTGCATCCCTCGTGCTTAGATGTGTCCTTTAAACTGTCTGTCAGAGGTCCCTGGAGCCTTTGGCTGGGCCATCCTTGAGGGCCAAAGAAGTGACATGCTTTACACTACTTCTTCTGTGGCCTTCAGTGGGCCTCTGGAGATGAGGAGTATGTGACTAAAAATCCCGCAACACTGAGCCTGCAGGTCTGGCTGCAGATCTATACAATTGTAGCGGAGTTGTTGGCTTGGGCTGAAGCTGGACTCGGGACTCCATGACCGGAGTGGGTCTCAGAGCCTGGGCTTTATGGCCTGCAGCCCCACAAGCTCAAACCAGTTGACCAAGGCCAGTCATGGTTGTGCCACTGGTCTTGTAGCACAGACCTACCCTATGCCAGGGCTCTGACTCAGGTTTGGCATGGGGCTGGAAGGAAAGCTTGGAGTCCATCAGTCTGGTGTGAGTCAGCAGGCACTCGGGACCTGCAGCCTAGGACCTGGCTAGGGGAGTGGGTCAGAGCCTAAATCTTGCTGTGATTTAGAGTCAAGCCCTGTCATTGGACGCACCTCAAGCTGTGGAGAAGATCTACGTGGTGCAGTTGGCCATCTTCACATGGCTGTGAGAGATGAGTCCAATAATGCTAAACCCAAGTTTACAGTGCTGTATGAATGCTCAAGCATAAGCTTGGAAACTTCAAGCCTGGGGCCCACCGATCTGGGCTTAGTGTGCCGTCTAGAAATATCCTCCAGGTCCCAGCAGGAAGTCTTGCTTTGAGAGCTCTGACCTGCCATACAGAGCATTTCTCAGCCATAGGTCCCAGCATTTATGGGCTGCATCTCTCTGTATGGACTACGGGAGCATCGTTTTAGTTCTGCATAGGTTACATAGTCTTGTGTCTGAGAAGTCAAAGAAGGACCAAGTATTCTTGCTTCCTTCCAGGATCAACGCACTGATATAGCCATTCGTATCTTCTCTCTCTCAGACATTTTAAGTATAATTCTTGCAAATGACTAGGAGATTTTTTTTAGTTTAGGAAATGTTTTGTCTGGTTCAGTCTGTAAATTTACTGGCTTCTCTATGCGCCCCGGCCACCAGAATGCTGGGGACACAGTATGGCAGCCCATCTCCCTGATCACTCAGGAAGCCTGGGGCCGTGACGTAGCAGCCTGGCTCCCCAGCCCCCAGGAAGGGCTGGGATTGGAGCCGGGGCCTCAGCACGGTAGCCCTGGCCCTCCAGGTGGCCAGGACAGCTCAGGCTGGGAGTGGGCGGGACTTGGCTCCAGGGGTGGGGCCTCGGGTGGAAGGGGCGGGACTGGGGCTTCACTTCCCCAGCTGGGCCTTCAGCTGCTGCCCATGCCTCAGTCTATTTCAATTCACATTGTTTTGCCTTTCAAGAACAGCCTAATTGACAGCCCTTTCTTTTCTTTCTTTAGCTGTGCCTCCCAAATTGAAGGAGCTGAAAAACCAGGAGTCGGCTGTGGGCCAGACGCTAGTGCTCAGGTGTGAAGCCAATTCTGAATACCCCCCTCTCCGATTCAAATGGTTCAAGAATGGGAAAGAAATAACCAAAAAAAACAAGCCGGAAAATGTCAAGATCTCCAAAAAACAAAAGTAAGTCCCACGATGCATTTGGCAAGCTGGGCTGGGGGGAGGAAGTGGAATCGTTTGCCGGGCCCCCAGCACTGAACGTATTAATGATCGTAGCGGGCATAACTGAGTGCTGAGAAATAAGGAAAGAGAACAAATGGAAATAGGTTATCCCTTTACTTTCACCGGGATTTATATGTTGTCAAGTAATAACAAAACCAGAATATATCACAGTTTGTATGCCAATTTTTATTCCCATTGTTTTTTTTTATAACAAAATACAAACTTTTTTTTAACTAATCTTGGGCGCGGGGCATGGTAAAACACTGATAGAAACTTTACGTTCAATGTTTGAAATTCGAAATTGTTTGACTACCCAGGGGATCTGGCTCCAGGAATAACTTTGAGTCTTGCTTTGCCCTGAAATGTAATCCTGGAAATTGCTAATTATCTCCTGCGTGGTTCTGAGAGGTTTCAAATCCCATTGACTTTGCCCGAGGACTCAGAACTAGAGCTATGTGCCTAACAGGCTGTTTTGGTTTGTTAACTGCTTGGCAAATTCAGAAGAAAAATGCATTTTGGATCGACCTGGAAATAAAAAGTTTAGATAAACTGAAAAGTTTAAAAAAAAAAGTTTTGGGTTGAACAAAACATTGAGTTCAACCGAAAATGAAATGCTTCATTTAGAAATCACACTCCTGCCCTGACATCACTCCCATGCACTGCTCGGCTGGATTCTAGCTGCCTTCCTGATCCTTATGTTTGTGAAGTGCTGTGAGCCGGTGTCGGGCTGAAATTCGGAGAGAGCTGGCTGGTGCGTAGGGTTGCCAGCTGTCCGGTTTTTGCCCGGACTGACCGTCATTTGAGTCCCCTGTCCGGTAAAAAACCAGAACATACCGGACATGTGAAATGTCCAGTATTTCCTGTTTCCCTCAGATGGAAGCCTGTTGGGAATAATTTTCCCGTGCCGCATCTGGCAGAGGCAGGGGAGTGAGGAGTGTGGGGCCATTTAAAGGCGCAGTGCCTTTTTTTGTTTTTCTCTGCTTAACAACTTTGGTCTCCCCATTTTTTCTCTCAACAGAATTTTTTTCCCCAGTATTTTTTTTTTTTGGAGGGTGGGGGCATGTTCGGTATTTTTTGTTAAACCATCTGGCAACCCTACCTGGGGAGTGCCCCGAACTGAAGGAATTTGTGCATTCAGAATTGTAACTTGGAGAGACAGAGGGGTCTGGCTATGGCTGCAGCTGCTACCACACCAGGCCTGAGCAAACACAAACATCTTGACAGGAGATAGATCTTGTTTTGATGGAGGCGCATGAATGTGTCCTTTGGCTCAGCTAACGTTGTATTGTATGCATGGTTAAATTGTATGGTACACATACATAGAACAGGCGCATATTACAAAGCTAAGTAAATAAGCACGAAAATAATTCAGTGCAGGTGAATGCAGTAAATAACACAATTATATTATGTGCAAATTCATCCCAATAGTATTTCCCTACCAAGCTAAATGAATGTCAATGGGTTAATATTTCTCTATTCTGAATATTTTTATGGTGCAAGATAATCCAACAAGGAAATACGTTTCATTCTTGGGCTGCTGTATTGTTATAGGACAACTAATTTACATCTGGGATTTTTATAATAACAAAGCATGGAAAATAACCAAAAAGTGGGGAGTTGTGCGAGCTGGATTAATATCTATTTTAAAGACAAATGGCTACTTCAAGAGTGAGATTATAATGCTGATGCAGAAGACATGCTCTAGCATCATCAGGATCCAAGACAGCATAATGGTATTAGCTTCATCCATCCTGACAGTTCAGAAGAACACTTTCTCCCTATTAAAGAAATCCCACTTAAGCTTGAAAGCAGCATCCATCCCTCCATGAGGACTTTTGTTAATTTGAGATTTCCCACGCCAGCTCTTTGCTCATTTTAGGAGTGTTTAGAGAAAGTGCAGATTCATTGCAAGACAGGGACTCCTGTGGCACGCCAACAAACGAGATGCAACACTTGAAACCTATAAAAACACTGAAGCCAAATATTTACCAAACCAGTTAAACAGGATGTAACAATTTTAAACGACCTGTAAAAAACGTTCTAGGCAGAGTAAGTGGGGCAACTTCTGGAAGCAAAAGGGAGGCAGTAGCTTTGCAGCTTCCCTTAAAATGACAGGGAAAAATGACCCACAGATGTCAGTACCAATAGACGTCGGGGTGGAGGGGACAACCCTGCAGTCTGTTATTTACTGGCGCCACATCCAGATGCATATTGTTAGCAAGTGACACCTGTAGCAATGTCACCAATGCCGTGTTCCTTTGACCTGTTAGTTTGCTTGAATGGGTTTATGCTCAGATGCGGTTCATTGTGGGATAATCCCCGATAAATCCCATAATGAAGGCTCTTGGTATGAATTGTATTCCATGAATTGGCTCCACAACTTAGAAAGCCCCCCTCAATCTAATCTTGAATCCTGAGTTAGCTGACCCAGGCCAGCTCTTGGTTTGCTCTGCTGGCCTTCTCCTTCTTCTCCCTCTGCTGACAGTGTGCTGGCTGCAAACCACAGTGAACAGCATCCGAGCATAAACCCTTTCCCCTCCCGCTAAGCATGGCAGCTGTTCTGATATCCCCCCTCCACAATCTGGGGATTGGTTCTAGGGTAGAGCCTTTTACCTTGAGTCCAGTTCTTGACAGTCATTTAGTTCAATGCCTGTGTGGCACCCTTTGTGCGCCCAGTTCTTGACAGTCAGTTAGTTCAATGCCTGTGTGGCACCCTTTGTGCGCAAAGAGTCTCGGGCCATGGCTACAAACCCTACAGCGACCCAGCCGAGGGCTGCAGATCCGTCGCTAACGGAGACCCTTGCCACAGCAACAGAAGAGGGCTTCCTGTTGCCATGGCAATCAACCCCTTGAGAATTCTTCTGCTGGCCTAAGGGTGTCTGCACCAGGGCTGAGGTGTGCGACATGACCTCTCTCAGGGGTGTCAATTAGTGCTGCTAGGCACTCGTAGGAGAACAACGGCCACTTCCTGTTGCCACAACTTCCGACTATTGCCACTCTCAACTCAGAGATCAGAGACAACATTACCCTCTTCTCCTTTGAGATGATCTCCCCCGGCTCCCAGCCAGGGTTAAGCCAGATTGGCCTGGCCATGTGAGGCAGCTTATGCCTAAACCGCCTGTGCTATACCTGCTCTGTGGTCAAAGAGAGAGCTGCGAAGGACTGGTCCAGGTAATGACATTACTTGTAGTCGGGGCCCGGCTGAGAGACAGCAGGAGGTAGTTCCGCCACATGTTTGAGCAAGCTGGAATTCTGCATGTTAAAATCTAATCTTCACACCTTGCAATCTGATTAAATTGCCTCTCCTCACCAGGAACGAAACATCGCCTCACACAGAGTACCACCGTTGCCCACAATTTTTGGCTAACTCTGGACAGTGATGCCCTGGTGGGGCTGCTAAAACGTTTGTTGCTCTCTCTCGTGATTATTTATTCAAATGCTAGAAACTACCATACTTGTACAGAACTTTGCGACTGGCAGCATTAACCCGCGGGACCGGTGAATTGATTTATTTATGTATGGGCACCTGGCCTGCTGATGTCCGAGCACCTGCTGGTCCAGCGTATTGAAAGGGAGGAGGTTGTTTTCTGTATATTTGCCTTAATAACAAAGCAGAGAAGTATAAACCAGTGTATTTATTTCAGCTTTCTAACGTGCCTGTTCTGCAGAATTCTCCAATTTCTGGGAGGGGTAACCTGGTGTAATCAGAGGGTAGAAGATGTGTCTCTTCATTGGATAAATTGCAGTGGGAGAGGTCTAGGTTGAATATTAGCAAAATGTGTGTCTCTATTGAATAAATTGCAGTGGGAGAGGTCTAGGTTGGATATTAGCAAAAACTATTTCCTTAGAAGCATGGTGAAGCACTGGCATGATTTATCTAGGGAGGGGTAGACTCTCCATCCCTAGAGGTTTTTAAGTCCCGGCATGATTTATCTAGGGAGGGGTAGAATCTCCATCCCTAGAGGTTTTTAAGTCCCTGTTTGACAAAGTCGTGGCTGGGATGATTGAGTTGGGGTTGGTCCTACATTGGGCAGGGTGTTGGACTCATTGACTCCTGAGGTCTCTTCAGCCCTAGAATTCTAGGATTCTAAATGCAAAGACTCTTTGTCGTGTTTCTTTCTCTGATCATTGTTGTTCCTAATTCTACAGGATGTACTCTGAACTTCACATTTATAGAGCATCATTGGCGGACGCTGGGGAATACACATGCAAAGTGAGCAGCAAACTAGGAAACGACAGCACCAAAGCCAGCATTACCATCACGGACACCAATGGTAAGACGTGGCTATTTGTTTAACTTCTGCTTTAAAAAAAACGAACAAAACTTTTGCATTAAAAGAGCGATCAAGACAGCAGGGTCTGTAGGGCAGTGAGAATTGTGCAAACTCTTCAAGAGGAGCGTCCTCACTAGACCACGTTGAAAGCAAAAGTGAGATGAAAATGCTTCAGTCAATTGCGATATAAGTAAAATAATTAAAACACATTAGGCCTGATATAGATACAAGCCTATTTTAGATTATATTGGCCCTTGTTGTGCAACCAAGCTGAGTCATTATTACAGTAGCACCTGGAAGACTCAATAGATTGGGCACCCCATTGTGCTAGCCAGCACAAACCTCTAGTAAGACCAGCCTCAGCACTAAAGATCTTATGATCTAAACAGACAAGACTGACAAAGGGGGAGGGAGAAGAAAGAAGGTTATCGCTGTTTCCATTATATAAAAGAGTAAGTGAGGCACAGAGAGATTAAGTCTATTGACAGATCTGGCAATTGAATCGAGATCTCCTGAATCCCAGTCTGGTATCTTTACTAAAACACAGCTCTCCTCTCTAATGTCTTCACTATGTGGAAGATTGACACTACGTGGTAGATCTTCTGGGGGTCGATTTAGCGGGTCTAGCGAAGACCCACTAAATCGAACTCAGAGGGTACCCACATCAGCACTGGTACTCTTGCTCCTCATGAGGAATAAGGGAAGCCAATGGGAGCATTTGCTCCTGTCGGCCTCCTGCTGTGTGGATGGAGCAAAAATTCAATTTAAGATACACTGACTCCAGCTACGTAATTAACATAGCTGGAGCTGCGTGTCTTAATTTGACCTTACCATGTAGTGTAGACGAGGGCTAAGTAATATTTGTATGGCTACTAATTGTGACCAACACTCCTTTCAGATATGTCAGTTGTTTTCCTGTTAGCTTGTACGTGAGATGAATGTTTCAATGCAGCCGAAGTGATCAGCATACAAAGTCATTCATAGACATAAATCTGCCTCATATGCTGTCACGTAGACTTGCGGTCTGAGGAATGGAGAAGCAGTGCTCTCAAAATTCTGTTTTTCAAAGCTCCTTTCTTTTTCACCGATAGTTACATACGCTTCTAGACAAATTTACTTTGTCCCACTATGCATAAGCTTTTTTGCAGTGCTCTTTCCAGTTATGGCCAAGTTGGCAAGGATAAGCTGAAGTTCTGTTTCTTGGGTTTGTTGTTGACTAATTAACATATATCAACAGTTGAAATTCAAATGGTAGGCCAGTGGGGGAGCGGGAATGGAGCGACTAGATGCCTGCTCAGATTAATAGAGCCACTAAAAGACAACTTCTGACTGTTAATCTGATGGGATTTGAAGACCTCATTGCACCGTGACTTTTTTGGGATGTACATTTGTTGCATGCTCTGATCTGAGCCAGGATGTAGGTACCATGCTATTTAGAAAACAAATTTATAATTAGTGTAAGTCTTTGGGCTTTTTTGGTAGTTTTGAGTTGTGCAAGTGGCTGTGAGTGTACAGTCATCATTGTGGTTTGTCTAAACTAAAGTGCGTCACAACAAATGAAAATCCACCGTTACAGTTTCATGCCAGGTGTACAACACTGCCATCATAATTGTATGTTGATTTGTTGATTTACAAGCCCGAGTGGTGGTGTTTGCCCCAATGTGGTTAGAACAAAATTTCCATAGGCATTTTGTTGGGCTTGTTAAGTTGATTTGGTTCAGTTTTTATGCATAAAAATGGGAGTGCTTATAAGTGTTTTCAAAAGGATGAAGATGTTCCTATGTAAAGACCACATATGTCAAGCCAGGGTCTTGGCACTGATCAGGGCAGACATACGTGCACATGGGGACATCCCCCAGGATTTTCCTACTCAGGGAACGGTGCAATGATTGTGAACTGTACGTGGGGCCTGCTTCTGAGACCCAAAAAGCATGTCATTCCCCTCCAGTTGGATTGTCTCTAAAATAGGATGGTTAATAGAAAAGCTTTCCTTTGGCAATGAAACAGGATCTTGATTTTTATTTTTAATTAGCACTTTTGTAGTCAAGGGTATGATTGTGTATGTGCGTGCATGTGTGTGTATATAAAATGTAGGCAAAATAAAATCCTGGAAGCAAGTACTCCTGAACCACAGTCAACCTGTGGAACTCCTTGCCAGAGGATGTTGTGAAGTCCAAGATTATAACAGGGTTCCAAAAAGAGCTAGATGAATTCATGGAGGATAGGTCCATCAATGGCTTTTAGCCAGGGTGGGCAGGGATGGCATCCCTGGCTTCTGTTTGCCAGAAGCTGGGAAGGGGTGATTTGATGATTATCTGTTCTGTTCATTCCCTGTGAACCACCTGACATTGGTCACCATCGGAAGACCGGACACTGAGCTAAATGGACCTTCGGTCTGACCCAGTGTGGCCTTTCTGCTGTTATTCTGTTCATGCCCCTCCTGTGATGTTAGGCTCAGGAAGTTGTAGACTGGAATGGCCAAGGAATGCATCCCCATGGGGTTGTAAAATTCCACAGCTCCGGGTGGCAAAGGGCAAAGAGTGATCTCTCATTAGCTGTTCTGGGATGCTGAATCTGGCAAAGGCTGGTGTTGGTCTGAGATGACAACATTCGTAGGCTCGATCAAGGAGAAACGTGTGACCACAAGAATTTGCATGAAGCATGCCGGCAGCCTGTCCTTTGATGCATCTCGGTGTGTGGTAGCCACGAGAAATCTTGGCTCAAAAATGCCCTAGGATGGTCCAGAATTTGCTCATATTCTCAGTGTGACTGTCAGTGTTGCTTCACTTCGTACACATGATATTGAAGTGTATGAGTCCGGTGACTGCTTCTCAAGATACTTTTTCTAGCATCTGTCTCTAGTATTCTGAATCGAGTGTTGGCCACTCAGCCCAGGAGATCATTTTACATTGATATCACGTCAGGATGGGTCGTGATGACTCTGTTCGACTCTGGTACCTCCAAATCTACTCATCTTGTGCCATTGTTTTATTTTCCGCTCTCACGACAGCTGGCTATCCTGGATCTGCACTACTTCTGCTCTGTAGATCATTACAGAACCCTCCAGCTGTTTCAGAATAACTGAGGCTTTGTGCAGCTGGCAGAATTGTTCAACTCTCTACAACAGAGAGGAGTGCATTAGATCTTTTTTGATTGGGAATGGACGAATGTGCAGGGCTCCTGTTTTGAATGTCCCAGTCCAAGTGCCTAGCAGTGTACCTTTGGTGCGGAGGGAACTTAAAGTCACCTTCGGACCTTATACTTGAGCCCCAATGGGCTACTAATATCCCGTTCTTCTGTACCTCCTGTGATCGTGGTTTCTAAATGAAGATCTCTGCTAGGCAGTGTATCATAACCTCTGCCCGACGGTCTATCAGAAAC